GTCCAGCAGCACCGTCACGTACGCTTGGTATGAGCGACCTGCCTCGGTAGTGCCCAGCTCTGCCCACCAGGTGTCGTAGGCTTCCTTTACACTCAGCCCGGGGGGGATGGGCTGACCCCGGTGAGCTTTGAAAGTACCCAGGACAAACGCGTAGTACTGCGCCATGCCCGCAGCAGAGGTGCCAGGGCGGGGCCGGCGGGGAAGAGAGCCTCCAAGCTGTACATATCGCGGCCGCGGCAGGCGGATGTGGACATGTGTTCTGTACAGCGGATGCGTGCCGTGGAAGGCCACCAGGCGGGGCAGCTCCGTGGCTGTCTGAGACGTTGGCTGGTCGAGTGTCGCTGCAGCTGTAGGAGCAGGTGGCTCAGGAGGAGTGGCCGGGCCTGCAGTCAGCAGAGGCACAGGGGCAGGCACAGGGGCGGTTATGGGTGTGGCCGGGGTAGTGCGCTTGCGGCGTCGAACTGCCACCGGACTCTGTAGACCCAATCGCTCTCGGTGCGGGTGCTGAGCTGGCGGCACACGTCGGACCTCATAGTTGGAGGATAGGTTGTACACGCTGCAGTCCAGGCCGCTGAGTTCTTCCCCCCGCAGCACGTAGTTATGCACGGCGTTGGTCACCGTGTAGCCCTCTTGCTCTTCGGCCTCCACCAGCACCGCCGCTGTGGTCGCCACCTCAGGAGATTGGTCGGCGCCCGCAGATAGCGCTGTGAACGCGTCTACCTGCAGGTATGCGCACTCGAACGTCGCCTCGAATGTGGAATGGCCGTCCAGCTTCATGGCGACAAGCGCCATACCAGCCGTAATGGCAGCGGTCATGCGATGCACAGTGGCACACATGTTGCCAAAGGCGGTGGGCCCACTGGCACCCGGATTCGGCGTCCTTCCAGCCAGCAGGAAGTCCTGCACTCGGGTAAGAGCGTTGCACGTCAGCTGCGCCTGGCTGTCGTTGATGCTCTTGCCAGTGTACTTCGTGCTGTAGTAGGCAGAGTCGCGGGCGCGGTCAGCAGCAGGCTGCAGCAGCACACAGTCCCCCCGCTCATCTTCAGGGCGGGCCAGTTGCGCTGCTGCCTCTGCCGTGTAGACGCGATCCACCTCGCATGCCAGAGTAAACAGCTGGTTGCACCCAAATGCCAGCGCTGCAGCTGGCATATGCGGTACAATGTTCAGGCCCAATCATGGCAGAAGGAAGAGGCCGCCGGTGCCAATCCACTGGAAGGCGCTGCGCAGGACACGCGGGAACGCCATGCCACAGCTATCATCTGTGCCACGGCAGCCGTGTCGCTTGCACGTGTCGTTATGCGTATGAGTAAGCGTGCTGCAAATGACGGCTGCGTGGTGCGCACGGCAAGCAGTGTGCCGGGGAGGCGGCGGGAGTCCGCCACCTGCACAGCCGGCGAGCCTGCCAAAATCGTACGCTGCAGGCGGGCAGGACTTGTCCACGGGCGGAGGTGCACGGCCATGCTGCTGGGCCTCTTCGACGGTCATGTCCATGATGTAGTGTTCTGCACCGCGGGTGAAAGGGTCATAGTACGGCGAGGGATACCACATGGCGCACAGGGCGTATGCCAGGGCCAGCGCTCGGCAGTTGGGTCCACTGAACAGTGCCTGAAGGCGCTCGACTGCGAACGTGGCCACATGCGCAACACCGTGGATGTGCAGGGCAAGGCAGCCGCTCTGCTCCACCTTGACCGCCACCTCAAACGTGAGCCCACAGAAGCAGCGCGGGTTCGTCTGCTGCATGGCGCCCGGCGCGAAGCCGAAGAGCTCCTCCACCAGAACCTCCTTGGTGGCCACCAGCAGGGCGGCGCAACTGTACGGGTCATCCTTCACACGCCGCCACTTCTCCACCGTGCTCGGGATATGTTGCGGTCGTCCGTCATCGTCGAAGTCCAACACCTGTCCGGAGGCCACGACTGCACAGGCTGCGTGCATATCTGCCGGATTTACGGTGAAGAACAGCGGAGGCCAGCCAATGGTGAGGGCGGCTGCACGCATCTTGGATCGGGCACCGTTGTAGTACGCGTCTGTGAGGTCGAGGCGCAGAGTACTGAGGCGGGCCCCCTCCACCAGTGCCTTAACCAGCGGCGACTGCTGCGCAAGCAACTGCCGCCGCTGTGAGTGCCGATACAGCAGCGCCAGTATGGTGCCCATAGCACGGATGACATCACACGGCACACACGCCGCCGGTTCACCAAGATGCGGCCGCATGTTCATGGTGATGCCCACTTGCGCCATGCTTTAGTGGCGCATGCAGATGTCGTACATGCGTGCCAGCAGCATGAGGTTGCCGCCGAATTGTGTCCGCGGCACACGGTGCAGCAGGTGGCGACAATACGCCGGAAAAGACATGCCGCGGGGGCGCTGACCAGAAAAGCCGTACGGGAAGGACTGGGGGAAGCAGAGGGTGAGGATGGCGGGATGACGGTCATCCAGCACGTGGCTGTCACGGCCACCAGCCGCAAACGCAAGCCGTGCGCGGCCAGTCAGAAGGTCCTCCACTCGGCCTGGGAAGCGATCGATTTCGCTGCCATCATCGCCAACATTCGACGGCTGTGGCAGGATCAGCTCCAGCTCGTCCAGAGTGGCAGCTGTCGGATCGACTGCATGATCAGACGACAGATGCGCAAGAGCTGGGTCAGGATGCAATTCACGCTGATAGCATGGTGCAGCAACGGCGGTAAATGCAGCATGGTGTGTGCATAGGCCGGACAAAAGCGAAATCGAAGCGTCTCGAACGCGTTACAAATGAGCGAAGATGTGTTAGCCCTATGCTCAGCCAAGCAAGAGAATGCACGCACCTGGTGCACCTTCAACTGGCTGGTCGGCAGGTCCACGCAGGATGGCGGGAATGCCCCGTC